AAGTCCAAAATTATCCAGTTGATAAAAGTATCCAAATAGCTTTTTTCCGACAAACGTAAGCACTGGCATTGCATCCCGAACTTTCCTCACCCTCCTTTCGGATTAAACAATTTTTTACATGTTTATAAAATTCTTACCGAGCGCGTAGACATATTCTTTGCCATGAATTCATCATCAGAAAAGCATCATCAACGCCAATGGCTAGCACCAAAAACGGCGTGACGCAGAGGATCGAGCCAAATCGCATACCACACCATAACAAAAAGCCCAGAGCTGTTCCGCATGCAAGCAGTGGAGAAACGCAAGCCGCTATCGCTACGATTATCTAGCAAATTAATAAAAACAGAAAAATAAGAATTATTTTCTATGGAAAAAACGAAAAAATTAAGTTCTCTGAGTTCTAGAAAACTTCAAAAACTAGCGAAAAGTTGATATTTGCGTTTGGGTAACAATATTTTCATGATAACGTTCATCCGTTAGCACGTTTGCTGACGATTTACAGCTGAGAGGTCTGGCAGGTCTACCCCTCATGTAAATCCTGAGATAGAGAAAGTTCCATTGACTTATTTCAGTGATATTTCAACTTTAAGTCTGTTTATATAACCTATCATCCAGTTCCTAAACTAAGTAGCTGGCAACTTTTCCAATTCCTTTGGCCAGTGCTACAATGCTTGGAAGTCAGCTTGTTGGCGATTCTAACTACCACTATAATTTACCTTGCAAAAACCGAGCTGTGACACAAGTACTGAACTAATGAGCACAGTTACTGTTGAAAATATGCACATGATCATGAAGCCGATAGCGGTAAATGGTAGCAGCGTGAGTCCGGAACGCACAATTTCCGCCGTTATAAATGTTGGTGTCATTGCAACAGCGTTGACTACATCCGACGTAAAATTCCTGAAAAAAAACTCCCACTAAATTCTGTCTTTTGTGATCCTTTATAATACAAAGATTTTTGATCCGAAGATTTCTGAAGCAAGATTTGGTCTGCAGATGGCTTAGGACCATGCTTTTTTGCATGCCTGGATCTAAAGCCTGATCAAACTGCTTCTCAGGCAGCTCTCAGAGAAAGAAATTACAGGTGGCCTTGTTGGTGAGAGCTAAGAGAACAAAACGTTTGCGTCTTAAAATGATCTTCCGTGAAATTGCGCAGAACACTAGTCAACATAAGACTAATGGCGATATGAATAATAGGGTCCATGAATCTTGGTTTACAGGATTTTTCTACGTTCCTAGGATGCATGTGCACTTTAGCGCTCATGATGGGCGATACCCCAGCTAAAGCCAACACAGACGCGCTTTTCTTTTTTTGCTGAACTTTCATTTCTTTTTGTTTTCTCTTTTTCAACCAAAGACTTCATTTTTTGGTTTTGTGAAATTCCAAAAAGTTCATTACCAAAGCAAAAGATAATGAACGAGAGAATTTTTTTCTGCGAAACTTTACTTTGTTTAGTTGTAATTCACTGTTTTTCTTTCACCTATGAAGCTGGTTGCTTTGTTCAGTGCTATTTCGCCTGTTGGTCATCCTATTGACGATCCTGGGGTTCTTTCGCCTGACACATTTCTTAGAAACAATGCTTTTTTTTAAAACCACATCATTCCTCTTTTTTTGAAAAAATCGAGATGCCATAAGACGGAGGTATAGGTGGACGTACTGTTTTTGAACCGCTGGAAATAAACAAATTTCTTCGAAAGTTTCTGGGTTAAGCTAGAAAGTGCAACTGACCTCTGAATGTAATTGACCACTTCCATCTCGTAACGCTCTGCATCTTGCTTTTCAGTTCCGAAAGGTAGTACTGCCCGAAACTGTAGCACAACTAGTCGAGCGTCCACTAAACCATTGCGTTCGTCAACCTAAAAATTCTTGCTATCATCTGCTGTGTAGTAACTATATTCTACACAGTTATCTATTTCCTGTTCTAGAAATTACCCTGCTTGGAATTTTCTTAATTTTATTTCTTCTT